CAAGATTCAGCTGAGACCGAACTTCGTGTCATTTCCCGCATATACTTATGGCCAATAAATCAACAACCTATATTTGGGTAAGCGCTGCATCCACCTGTGATTAAAAGCTACAAAAGTAAGGGGAAAAAGTTCTGAAAAATTGCAAAATGATATAAAATACAATTATCGATAACGCATCCGTCAGCCAACTCTCATCAAAAGTCAATGTCCAGCTCTTACTACGCTGGACCTCACGCTGTCCGGGAAGACTTTCAGAAACAATTTGTATTAACCAACACCAAAAACCAAAACTCAGATTGGTGACTCGAGAATCCTTTATACTTACACCAACATATAACGAACCATAAGGCTATCATACACAAGGTCTAGGAATAAATGTTATAACAATAAATCACGATAATACATCTGATAGTTTTCGATCATCCACTGAACACTGAACCATGAGACGATGACTGATGGATTCATGGAGTTGGGTTTGGGAAAACAACCATGCAAACATCGTTCAATCTTGAACTACGTTGCCACATATTGCCAGCCACGTCTCATAAACCGTTAATGCCCAGATCTTGCTACGCTCGGGCACACGCTGTTCCTTGCAGTTTTTCAGAAACGCTTAGTAATAACGGACGAAAAAACCAAAAGACCGATTGGTCGCTCGAGAATTCTTTATTGTTACACCAACATATAAAAATAATGTTTTTACTAGGGTCTGTGAACAAATATTACAATAATAAATCATAGTATTACTTCTGACGATGTTTCTACTGACTTCTTTCTGAACAGCGACCGATGAGACGATGACTGTCGTATTGATGCCTCCGCGAAAATTGGGGAAGTTGATTTTGAGCAAACAACCAAGAATTGATCGTTCAATCTTCAACTCCATTGACACTCCCCGGCAAAAATGGGATCTAACCCTTTTTTCCTTCACGACCAATACACGTTGACTTGGATGCCATTGTGAGAACCTGGGTCACACGGACAGAGCTGAAATGGAAAACAAACAGAAAAGCCAACACACCACAAGCATACCCACAGCACAATCTCACACATCGCTGACGACCTGCGCCTCCAGACAGAGACCTCCTCTTGACATCTTGCAACACAATCGCCACTTGCTGGAATGACTCTTGCAAAATGCAACGTCACCATGGCAGCACCTCACGATACTCTACGCTCATCCTCTTATCTACTCATAACCAATTACCACTGCAATCGCTTGTCACTCATTCTGTCTCAATTCTAGTAACGATGACGTATGCGAGCCTCAGTCGTTTACACTCTTTCTCCCCGGCGTGTCGGACCGCAGCTAACAATTATCTCCGTGTGCATTTCATTCTCAGCAATAGCCTCCCCGGCGTATACGACCCATCTGCTGTCCTTAACATCAATCAATTCATTGACGGATGTAGAAGACTCGAAACAACTTCAGAAATAATCACGACGAAAATTTTAACAAAATTACGCAATAACAACGAGGTACCAAAACAACAAGTAAACACAATGAATCCAAAATACACCAATTGATATGACACACCACACGTATATACAAATAGTACAAACAACCTCGCCGATCATGTCTTGGTGGAATTCCTTTGAAGAATTGCAGGACTTACACCAGTACGCCTACAACCCTTCTCAGGTTGACGATTGTAATTTGTGGAATGTACGGACACAAACAAGATTAACCAACAATTACATCAATTGGAACTCACACAATTATTTAACACAAACATATGTACAATCAACACATCAAATGTTGTGTATTCTGGCACGGCAAACTATCCTTGAAGAACTGTAGGACTTACAGCAGTACGCCTACATTCCTTCTCAGGTTGATGATCCAAGTGGAAGTCGTCCGGACACAAACAGAATTACCAACAGCTAGATGACAGGTGATATCAATTCAGTATATGCAATATGAACATATGTACAAAATCACACACCGAGCACATTGGGCTGTTCATTGATGCGATACCATTTGAAGAATTGTAGGACTTACAGCAGTACGCCTACAACCCCTCTCAGGTTGATGCCCCAGGTTGGAAAATCGTTGCAGAGTTCATTTGCTGACTTCCTTCTATCAGCTATATCCTCAAATCTGAACGATAACATGTTCATGTCATTGTATCGTAGAATATAGATGACGAAAAAACACACGAAGTATCTGGTCAACCAAGCGTAGGCACAGAGTAATTTACACCAAAGATAATAGCATTCAAATAGTAACTTGAAACTAGAAATGCCTTTATTCATGCAAGTCAGTTTAACAATTACTCTCTCGTTTACACTTGGCTTATTCTCACTAAACTGAGCAATATCTTTCGTCTTTTCAAACGCACCAATACTATCATAGTCATTGCACAAGATACTTGAGTTGATGGGCATCTGTTTCATTGTGGATGACAACACCAACGATGACTGAGTGACACAAGGTGATGAACTTAGCGGTGGATCAGAAGCTGTTCTTTTTCGGCTTTCAGATAGTTGTCTAACTGCAAGATTACCACCACTGCTGTCTTTCACTACTAGTTCGGGTTTAGCACTATCATCTGATGATAGGTGGGCTACACGCTGATCAATTACACTGACTGTCTCACAAGTATGCACACCTTCTGGAACTGCATCTGCGTTCAATTCTACTTCACGTTGTAGTTGTACAGAACCTTTATTCAACTTAGCAGTAGTAGGCATATCCCTCATCTCATCATGATCAACCAAAGACAAATCTGCACTATCATGATCATTACCACAAATATTCAATTTACCGTCAATTTCATCATTTTCAAACTCTTTAATAACAGAAGTAGACAATTTTGGTTCCTCCTCACAAATCATTAAAGGTTTTATATCTTCACTCTGACTAGTTATACTTTGTAAACTTGTGGAGTCAGAACTGCACTCTGAAGCAGCAACTCTATTCTGTGACACTCTATTCAACAATGGCTTACCAGTTGCAACTACAGACTTCTTGACCGCACCGTTATCGTCACACAATTCGGAGTCAGGCCTGGGGTTTACATTTAGCTTATCACTGAACTTGCTCACTGGTTCACAGTTCACTTCTGTATGCACCTCTTGCAAACGTGTAGAACACAACCGTGTTTCTCTTGCAGCTTGCAACTTATCTGTTGAGGATGTACTACGAAACCTGTTACACTCACTAGGTCTATATGCATTACTAGACATCATGGAGCCTTTTCGATATCCACCTCTCTGAGGCCTACTCGTCATCAATGATTGCATTTTGCTCTCAGACTGCTCTATTCTAGGGGTGAGATGTAATAGACTGGCGAACTTGCTCATAGATTGATTGACGCTATCTTTTACCAGTTTCAGGATATCATCAAACTTTGGCTCGATACCCTCATCCTCCATACGGGAGCTTATCTTCACCCACTTCCTTTGCAGTCGAGTAGGTAGGCGTCTTGCTATTACTTCTAGTATAAAACTCGAGTTGAGGTCACTCATGCGATTCATCGAAATCATTCCATTCTTGTAAATTAGCAAATTATCTAAAAACTCAGTGAGTGCCTGGGAGTCATCCTGTAATTGACCACCATTACCCTTAACAGCCTCGAATAATTTCCCTGCAATCATCGAAGGTCTTCCAAACCTTTGACGTAATATGCTCATAGCCTCGTAGTAGCCCTCTTTTGGCTTCATAAACTTACAGCACTGTATAGCTCTTGCAGCATCTCCAGTGCAATATCTCATCAAATACATTAACTTCAATTCATCATTTAATAAAAACCACTCAACATGATCTCAAACTCCTTTACAAATTGTAAATAATCAGCCGGGTTTCCATCGAAACACCGTGGTTCTAATTTAGGGAGTTTGATGTTCCTATTATTCCTGAACGGCGAAACAGTAACATCAACCATGTCATGCTTAACATCAGACACATCGTTACAAGTGACAGACAAGTCACCATGACTTACTTTCCTGTTTGCATCCAAGACGCTCTGTCCCTTCTTTGACCCAGGCATTGTTGAACTTGACCCAATTCCAAAAGAGTTCCAGATATTGCTTGTTCAAAGAGGACTTCACCGGCACCAGGAAAGATGAACGGTGACTATCCAAACTTTCACCAACTGTCTGAATCCGCCAGATCTGTTTCTACCATCAGAAACTGTCAGCCACGTCTCATAAACCGTTAATGCCCAGCTCTTGCTACGCTCGGGCCCACGCTGTTCCTTGAAGATTTCAGAAACGCTTAGTTATAACGGACGAAAAAACCAAAACACCGATCTGCCGCTTGATATTTCTTTATTGTTACACCAACATATAAAAAGAATAACTGAACTTGTGGTGAGAGCAGGCTGCTAGCCGATTGGTTGGCACTAATCTACGTTAAGGTCTAGGTCACTAATGTGGGCCGTGAGAAGATATGAACAAGGTTGAGTCAACAACCAATCAGAAGCCTGCGTTTTTCTATAATAATGTTGTTGAAATATGTATAAATACGTGTTGATTTTCATAATAAAACGATCTGTTGCCTGGCCCTTGTCTTCTGTTGTTACATTTGGTGTCGCTGCCTACCGACAAATGGAAAGCCTATGCCCTGCTGTTTTCGATGGAGACATATGGATCTTCGGGCAGGACTTCAAGGCTTCTGCGCAGTTGAGTGGCGTTCAAGATCTGTCAGCGATGGAGCTGCTACTTGGGACGCTGCTGGGAGGTCGGGTGAAAGCAGCATATGAAAGTGTGAGCCGAAGTATGGACGAATGTTCGACAGGGTCAGGCAAACAGTTTCCAAAGTGGGAAGGACCATATATGGTCACTTCGAGATGGGGTTACGCAGACACAGTCGCAATGGCGAACAATAAGAGGCGCGTGAACGTCAACGAGCTCCAGAAATGGATACAGCGAGACAAGCCAACGATGACGCCCGCACCAAGTAGATCAAGCCGAATTCAGTCGCACGTATTTGACGGGGGGATGAGTGTGGTGAGAGCAGGCTGCTAGCCGATTGGTTGGCACTAATCTACGTTAAGGTCTAGGTCACTAATATGGGCCGTGAGAAGATATGAACAAGGTTGAGTCAACAACAAATCAGAAGCCTGCGTTTGTCTACCTAACTTCTGATTAACAACCAATCAGATGACTGCGCTTGTCTATAATAATGTTGTCTGAAATATGTATAAATACGTGTTGATTTTCATAATAAAACGATCTGTTGCCTGGCCCTTGTATTCTGTTGTTAAAAACTAAGGTCTGAAAACAAATATTACAATAATAAATCATTGTATTACTTCTGACGATGTTTCACTCTTCTTTCTGAACAGCGACCGATGAGACGATGACTGTCGTATTGACGCCTCCGCGAAAATTGGGGAAGTTGATTTTAAGCAAACAACCAAGAATTGATCGTTAAATCTTCAACTCCATTGACACTCCCCGGCAAAAATGGGATCTAACCCTTTTTTCCTTCACGACCAATACACGTTGACTTGGATGCCATTGTGAGAACCTGGGTCACACGGACAGAGCTGAAATGGAAAACAAACAGAAAAGCCAACACACCACAAGCATACCCACAGCACAATCTCACACATCGCTGACGACCTGCGCCTCCAGACAGAGACCTCCTCTTGACATCTTGCAACACAATCGCCACTTGCTGGAATGACTCTTGCAAAATGCAACGTCACCATGGCAGCACCTCACGATACTCTACGCTCATCCTCTTATCTACTCATAACCAATTACCACTGCAATCGCTTGTCACTCATTCTGTCTCAATTCTAGTAACGATGACGTATGCGAGCCTCAGTCGTTTACACTCTTTCTCCCCGGCGTGTCGGACCGCAGCTAACAATTATCTCCGTGTGCATTTCATTCTCAGCAATAGCCTCCCCGGCGTATACGACCCATCTGCTGTCCTTAACATCAATCAATTCATTGACGGATGTAGAAGACTCGAAACAACTTCAGAAATAATCACGACGAAAATTTTAACAAAATTACGTAATAACAACGAGGTACCAAAACAACAAGTAAACACAATGAATCCAAAATACACCAATTGATATGACACACCACACGTATATACAAATAGTACAAACAACCTCGCCGATCATGTCTTGGTGGAATTCCTTTGAAGAATTGCAGGACTTACACCAGTACGCCTACAACCCTTCTCAGGTTGACGATTGTAATTTGTGGAATGTACGGACACAAACAAGATTAACCAACAATTACATCAATTGGAACTCACACAATTATTTAACACAAACATATGTACAATCAACACATCAAATGTTGTGTATTCTGGCACGGCAAACTATCCTTGAAGAACTGTAGGACTTACAGCAGTACGCCTACATTCCTTCTCAGGTTGATGATCCAAGTGGAAGTCGTCCGGACACAAACAGAATTACCAACAGCTAGATGACAGGTGATATCAATTCAGTATATGCAATATGAACATATGTACAAAATCACACACCGAGCACATTGGGCTGTTCATTGATGCGATACCATTTGAAGAATTGTAGGACTTACAGCAGTACGCCTACAACCCCTCTCAGGTTGATGCCCCAGGTTGGAAAATCGTTGCAGAGTTCATTTGCTGACTTCCTTCTATCAGCTATATCCTCAAATCTGAACGATAACATGTTCATGTCATTGTATCGTAGAATATAGATGACGAAAAAACACACGAAGTATCTGGTCAACCAAGCGTAGGCACAGAGTAATTTACACCAAAGATAATAGCATTCAAATAGTAACTTGAAACTAGAAATGCCTTTATTCATGCAAGTCAGTTTAACAATTACTCTCGTTTACACTTGGCTTATTCTCACTAAACTGAGCAATATCTTTCGTCTTTTCAAACGCACCAATACTATCATAGTCATTGCACAAGATACTTGAGTTGATGGGCATCTGTTTCATTGTGGATGACAACACCAACGATGACTGAGTGACACAAGGTGATGAACTTAGCGGTGGATCAGAAGCTGTTCTTTTTCGGCTTTCAGATAGTTGTCTAACTGCAAGATTACCACCACTGCTGTCTTTCACTACTAGTTCGGGTTTAGCACTATCATCTGATGATAGGTGGGCTACACGCTGATCAATTACACTGACTGTCTCACAAGTATGCACACCTTCTGGAACTGCATCTTCGTTCAATTCTACTTCACGTTGTAGTTGTACAGAACCTTTATTCAACTTAGCAGTAGTAGGCATATCCCTCATCTCATCATGATCAACCAAAGACAAATCTGCACTATCATGATCATTACCACAAATATTCAATTTACCGTCAATTTCATCATTTTCAAACTCTTTAATAAAAGAAGTAGACAATTTTGGTTCCTCCTCACAAATCATTAAAGGTTTTATATCTTCACTCTGACTAGTTATACTTTGTAAACTTTTGGAGTCAGAACTGCACTCTGAAGCAGCAACTCTATTCTGTGACACTCTATTCAACAATGGCTTACCAGTTGCAACTACAGACTTCCTGACCGCACCGTTATCGTCACACAATTTGGAGTCAGGCCTGGGGTTTACATTTAGCTTATCACTGAACTTGCTCACTGGTTCACAGTTCACTTCTGTATGCACCTCTTGAAAACGTGTAGAACACAACCGTGTTTCTCTTGCAGCTTGCAACTTATCTGTTGAGGATGTACTACGAAACCTGTTACACTCATTAGGTCTATATGCATTACTAGACATCATGGAGCCTTTTCGATATCCACCTCTCTGAGGCCTACTCGTCATCAATGATTGCATTTTGCTCTCAGACTGCTCTATTCTAGGGGTGAGATGTAATAGACTGGCGAACTTGCTCATAGATTGATTGACGCTATCTTTTACTAGTTTCACGATATCATCAAATTTTGGCTCGATACCCTCATCCTCCATACGGGAGCTTATCTTCACCCACTTCCTTTGCAGTTGAGTAGGTAGGCGTCTTGCTATTACTTCTAGTATAAAACTCGAGTTGAGGTCACTCATGCGATTCATCGAAATCATTGCATTCTTGTAAATTAGCAAATTATCTAAAAACTCAGTAAGTGCCTGGGAGTCATCCTGTAATTGACCACCATTACCCTTAACAGCCTCGAATAATTTCCCTACAATCATCGAAGGTCTTCCAAACCTTTGACGTAATATGCTCATAGCCTCGTAGTAGCCCTCGTTTGGCTTCATAAACTTACAGCACTGTATAGCTCTTGCAGCATCTCCAGTGCAATACCTCATCAAATACATTAACTTCAATTCATCATTTAATAAAAACCACTCAACATGATCTCAAACTCCTTTACAAATTGTAAATAATCAGCCGGGTTTCCATCGAAACACCGTGGTTCTAATTTAGGGAGTTTGATGTTCCTATTATTCCTGAACGGCGAAACAGTAACATCAACCATGTCATGCTTAACATCAAACACATCGTTACAAGTGACAGACAAGTCACCATGACTTACTTTCCTGTTTGTATCCAAGATGCTCTGTCCCTTCTTTGACCCCGGCATTGTTGAACTTGACCCAATTCCAAAAGAGTTCCAGATATTGCCTGTTCAAAGAGGACTTCACCGGCACCAGGAAAGATGAACGGTGACTATCCAAACTTTCACCAACTGTCTGAATCCGCCAGAGTCTGTTTCTACCATCAGAAACTGTCAGCCACGTCTCATAAACCGTTAATGCCCAGCTCTTGCTACGCTCGGGCCCACGCTGTTCCTTGAAGATTTCAGAAACGCTTAGTTATAACGGACGAAAAAACCAAAACACCGATCTGCCGCTTGATATTTCTTTATTGTTACACCAACATATAAAAAGAATAACTGAACTTGTGGTGAGAGCAGGCTGCTAGCCGATTGGTTGGCACTAATCTACGTTAAGGTCTAGGTCACTAATGTGGGCCGTGAGAAGATATGAACAAGGTTGAGTCAACAACCAATCAGAAGCCTGCGTTTTTCTATAATAATGTTGTCTGAAATATGTATAAATACGTGTTGATTTTCATAATAAAACGATCTGTTGCCTGGCCCTTGTCTTCTGTTGTTACATTTGGTGTCGCTGCCTACCGACAAATGGAAAGCCTATGCCCTGCTGTTTTCGATGGAGACATATGGATCTTCGGGCAGGACTTCAAGGCTTCTGCGCAGTTGAGTGGCGTTCAAGATCTGTCAGCGATGGAGCTGCTACTTGGGACGCTGCTGGGAGGTCGGGTGAAAGCAGCATATGAAAGTGTGAGCCGAAGTATGGACGAATGTTCGACAGGGTCAGGCAAACAGTTTCCAAAGTGGGAAGGACCATATATGGTCACTTCGAGATGGGGTTACGCAGACACAGTCGCAATGGCGAACAATAAGAGGCGCGTGAACGTCAACGAGCTCCAGAAATGGATACAGCGAGACAAGCCAACGATGACGCCCGCACCAAGTAGATCAAGCCGAATTCAGTCGCACGTATTTGACGGGGGGATGAGTGTGGTGAGAGCAGGCTGCTAGCCGATTGGTTGGCACTAATCTACGTTAAGGTCTAGGTCACTAATATGGGCCGTGAGAAGATATGAACAAGGTTGAGTCAACAACAAATCAGAAGCCTGCGTTTGTCTACCTAACTTCTGATTAACAACCAATCAGATGACTGCGCTTGTCTATAATAATGTTGTCTGAAATATGTATAAATACGTGTTGATTTTCATAATAAAACGATCTGTTGCCTGGCCCTTGTATTCTGTTGTTAAAAACTAAGGTCTGAAAACAAATATTACAATAATAAATCATTGTATTACTTCTGACGATGTTTCACTCTTCTTTCTGAACAGCGACCGATGAGACGATGACTGTCGTATTGACGCCTCCGCGAAAATTGGGGAAGTTGATTTTAAGCAAACAACCAAGAATTGATCGTTAAATCTTCAACTCCATTGACACTCCCCGGCAAAAATGGGATCTAACCCTTTTTTCCTTCACGACCAATACACGTTGACTTGGATGCCATTGTGAGAACCTGGGTCACACGGACAGAGCTGAAATGGAAAACAAACAGAAAAGCCAACACACCACAAGCATACCCACAGCACAATCTCACACATCGCTGACGACCTGCGCCTCCAGACAGAGACCTCCTCTTGACATCTTGCAACACAATCGCCACTTGCTGGAATGACTCTTGCAAAATGCAACGTCACCAT